CCCCAAAACCCCAAAACCCCAAAACCCCAAAACCCCATATAATTTTTAACTAATTAAAAATGAAATGAGAGGAACAATTAGAATATTCTGAAATTCTCATTCCCTCTTTGCTACCAGCTTTATTGGGTGATGAACAGTTTGAGGATATATTACCAGATTCTCTAGTGAACAACTGCTGGTTGAATCTGAGTGTATAGAAAGAATTTGTAAAACTCTAATTTTTTCTCTAGATTTTTTATTATGAAAATTGAGATATGAGGATCTATCAGATTTATTTAGTTTAAACCTTCTGGAATATTATGAATAAATTAACTGAAATCTTTAAATCTTCCTTTATCAAATTCAACTCCAGCCTTTTTATACAACTTCTTGAGCTTAGAATAGTTGATTCGTGGGATGAATGGCATCTCTAGCTTTGGTTCTCCTCTTTTTGGGTCTAAAGCTTCCCAATCTATTCCTTCGAAAAATTTATGCTTCTTGATCTTAGAGCCTCCTCTTCCGCTTTTTGACCATGGAAGTCTTTGAGAGGGATCTATAGCATTGCGATTAGATGAGAATTAATCACCAAAATACCTTTTACTAACAGCTTGTGCAATAATTTCTTAAAAACTCGATACTCTCTATCTCTTCCTGATTGAACGTTAGAGGGAAATTGTAACTCTTGATTTAAAATAAAATCTTTAACCTGTTTTTCTGTCTCTTCTCTAAATGTTGCTACAATGTCATAGTTTCAGAATGGAGTCTCTTTGTAATGCAGATGGTACAAAAGAATTCCAAATGCCCACCAATCCACAGAAGGTAAATTGCAGTATTTATCCTGCTTGATTACTGAAGGATCCATATACTCGATATTTCCAGCCAGTCCTGTTTTCTTTTTATTAGAAAGACAGTTAGCAAGTCCGAAATCTGCAAGTTTGATATAGCCTCTTTCATCAATCATGATATTCTCAGGTTTTATGTCTCTATGAATGTATCCATTTTTGTGAAGACATTCTAAAGCAAGAATCATCTGAGCACCGATCATTCTAACCTCATTAAGAGTGAAGCCACTGTCTAGCACTTCCATCTGGTACTTGAGATCTTTGCCTGCCATGAATTCTGTAAAGAAATAAATTTTATTATCATCTTCAAAATAATGCTTCATGCTTAGTAAGAATCTATTATCGACATATCTCAAGATTTTATGCTCGTTCTTCACATTATCATCAACTTTGGTTTCCTCAAGAAATGATTTGTTCATCTTCTTCATAGCATAAAGATTATTTTCTTTATCAATAGCGACAACTACTTTTGCGAATGATCCTTCTCCAAGATTCCCCAAAACCTTAAATTCTTTTAATCCGTCATGTGTTAGAGAAAACTGACTCTTTAGCTTTGGTAAAGGAACATCTTCTTCATCACTTTTAGAGGATTCTTGAGAATGTCTAGAACGAGGAGTATCGTCACCATCATCTTCATCGTCTTCTGATCCAAGATGTATCAAATTTTTATGGTTCTCCTCCACAGAGCTAAGCTTAGTCTTTCTTACTGATGAGTAAATCTATTTCAAAATTAGATACTCCCTAAATTCACTTACTTTTCGACCCATTGACGCAATAGCATTTGACATTTCCTCAAATCCTGCTTCACCATCTTCTGAAGAGCAATCAACGTCTAAATCTTCAAACTCATCTTCATCATCTTCCTGCTTCTCTGATATAAGATATTCTTCATCAGGGTAATCTTCGTCTTCCATATACTCATCAAGGTCTTCCTGAGGTATCTGAAAAACCTGTCACCCGTCTCTTAAATTTATCGCATAGAGGAGCCTAAGGACATCTTTGGCATGTTTGGTCTTCACGACAATATTAGGGGGTTCCATCGTCCTTCATACTATCTGGTTCTCTAGTGAGTTGATGTAAAGTGCATCAATATCTTCCATCTTCTTACTATACTTCGCTTTCTTAGATTCTCGATTTTTGTAGAAGTCGATCCAATGATTAGAAATAATGCAAAAACGCTTCTTGTATCCATTTTCAGTTAACAATTTACAGTTGATTGTCATCTTCTGGACATCTTCATCAATATCTGTAAGAAAGAGTTAGAGGAAATTCTTCAAATCTATTAATGCGTACTTTGGTGATGCCATTTAGTATCACCAAGGTTCTGATTCCCCCAATTTAGTTTCAAATGAGATCTTAAGATACATTATTTTACCTCAATGATTCCTCTAAGCTATCTTAATAATGGTTAAAGAATGGTTACTTACCAGTTGGGACTACTTCAAGGTTCTCTAATGCAAAACTAAGTGTTTTTGATAATCTGTCTTCCATTAATATTATTATTGTATTCTATAATCTCTCAGGCTTTTGGGGTTTTGGGGTTTTGGGGTTTTGGGGTTTTGGGG